TTTTACATTTATCTGTGGATATCCAGGGCTCATGTATGCGATTACTAACAAGCATAACTGAATCAGATGAGGGACTCCCATCTTCTTTTGATGCTTTCTACATCATTCAATATTTTGCCCACAGAATCCTTCAGTAGTATTTCATGTCAAGGCTTAATTTTTTCCTTCAGTTCTTTCAGCTTGAAAAAATGCCGGACGTGGTCTTCCGTTTTAGTTTTCTAATTCCAGGTCCTTGCACATTTCATTATAATACTTGACTTTGTCTTCTCGAGATGCCCTTTGAAATTTTCGGTTCAGCTTTTTTCACCTCCTCATTTCTTCCATTTGCTTTTCATCTCTACCGTAGAGCCCAAGATTCAGAGTCTTTACTGTCTTTTTAATGACCTTCTTTATTTTTATGTCAAATAATATATATTTTTCTCTCTATATTAATAATTATAAAAAAATTCTGGACATTGTACACAATTTGCTTCTTTCACTTAGCAATTTTTAGGTATTGTCTGATAGCACCTAATTCTTTTAAACCACAGCAGAATATAAAATTTTATAGATATCTTGGTTGATCATTTCTTTAATAATCAACATTTGGCCTATGTTGAAGTTAAAAAAGCTACAATAAATACTCTTGAGCCCATTTTTTTGTGAAGAATTTCTAGAAGTGGAATTTCTGGGTTCAAAACCAGAACATTTTGAGTTTTAATTGTTAATTTACACTTTGAAATGGTTTTAACAATTTACAATACAGAAAATGCTATTTATTTGGATGCCATAATAATCTTTGCCAACATAAACTTACTGCCATGGAGTCATTTCCGATTCACAGTGACGCTGTAGTATAGAGTAAAATTGCTCCTCCGTTTCCAAGGTTACTAGTCTCTATGGGAGCAGACAGCCTCATATTTATACCACAGAGCAGCTGATGGGCTTGAACCACTGACCTTGCAATTTGAAGCCCAACGCGAAACCCAGTACACCACCAGGATTCCATAATTAGTAAAAATATTTTAATTTTCAACTTTTAATTTTGTGAACTTTATTTTTGGACTCACTAATTTTGGTTTCTAGTAATAGCCATTTTTAATCCATTATATCTTTTAATTTTTTATTTTAACACTTTAATTTTAATGCTTGCTATTAGAGTCCTCTGTTTTTCATTTTCAAAAAAAGAAACATACCATAGAATTTCATGGAAATTTCAGAAACAAAACTTCTAAAGGTCTCAGACCTTTTCTTCTGTTTTATCATCAAAAATTAGTCTTCTGACTGCCTCTGTACTGTTTCTACTTAATATACTGGAGTTCTGAATTCATTGATACCATCAGAGTAAAAAGAACTTTGACCAGATCTGCTCAGGATAACTCACAGTCCTTATTTTGATAAAATTTTTTTGAAAGCCTGGACTACAATCTTTCTGATTGTATTGGATTCCCACCATTTGGTTTAATCTATCTAACTGCTCCCCTATAGGCCTTGATATTAACTCATGCTACCAGAGGGTCTCTCACTTTTAGCTGTCTTAGCAGACACGCCTGTATGCATAAGCAGGTACAGACCCAATTCTGGCCTGTGAGGAAGAAAAAATGGTAGGTATAACAAAAAATGTTTCACAAATGATATCTGATAGTCTGTTTAGGATTGATGGAGGAATAAGCAAAACACTGCTTAGAAACAATTATCCACAGTTTGAAAGCCACCAAAATGTGTTTCCAAATGTTAAAATACGTAATTCTTTGTAGACAAAGATAACAACTTGAAGTAAATGAGATGACTTCATATTAATCATTCTTTTTATATACTTCAAATTTGTACTTGTACTTAATGCCTTTCTCTTCTTGAATATCAGAAAGAACACCTGGGAGAAGTTTGTATTTCTCTAAATCAATTTCAGGAAAAAATGTGTCACTTTCAAATTCCTGCATGATCCTTGTCACAGACAATCTAACGTGCCCTGGCTGGTTCATGGCATCCTTGTACACAGAGCTGCCTTCTACTATCCAAACTATGTCTACTTTATTCCCTAATTCTGGCTGCTCAACAAATTTTAATGCATCATCCAGACTTTTGGAAAGTAAATGAGCTCCTTGTGGGCGTTCCTTGAGTTCTCTACTGAGAACCAAGTTAATTCCCTCTTTCAAAGGTCCATTCTTTTCAGGAATGGAGAACGAGGTCTACCTGTAATCACCAAATTCTGTTTATCTTCTACTGAAAAGGTCGTGGTCATGGTCATTCTTTGGAAATATCTGAATTCATTTCTAAGTGGGGGCCTGGGCAGATCTCCGTTCTTGCCCATACCCATGTTTTGGGACACAGCGGCGATGCAGTTTAGCAGACAAACCATGACAGCAACAGTCAACACCTCTGCATTCGCGCAGGACGCCTGGATTACCCATGAAGCTTGCCATGTAACTCCTTTTTAATGACCTTTTACTTTCTTCCTTTATAATATTCTTGATTTCATCTCACAGCTTGTCTGTTTAGTGTTTAAAACATCAAATCTGTTCTTGAGATGGTCTTTGAATTCAGGTAGGATATGTTCATATTTTGGCTCTCATGGACTTATTTAATTTTCTTCAGCTTCAGCCTGAATTTACCTGTGACCAGTTGATCTGTTCCACAGTCTGCCCTGGCTTTGTTTTGGCTGATGATATTGAGCTTCTCCATCATCTCTTCACACAGACATAGTCAATTTGATTCCTATGTATTCCATCTGGTGACGTCTGTGTATATAACTAACTTCTATGTTGGGGTCGCTATGGGTCGGAACCGACTCGACGGCACTTAACAACAACAACAACAACAAATGTTGTTAAAAAAAAAAAAAAGTATTTGCAATGAATAAGTTGTTGAGCTTGTAAAATTCTATCAGGTGGTTTTTAGTATCATTTCTATCACCAAGGTCATATTTTCCAACAACCTATTCTTCTTCTTCTTTGTTTCCAAACTTTGCATCTCAGTTATCAGTGATCATTAATTATTCATCCTGATTACATATGTCATCAATTTCAGGCTGAGGAAGTTCGTAGCATTCTTCAATTTCATCTTCATTGACTTTAGTGGTTGGTGTGTAAATGTGAATAATAGTGGTATTAACTGGTCTTTCTTGTTAACATATGAATATCATCCTATCATAGATGTATTGTACTTTAAGATATATCTTGAAATGTTCTTTTTGATGATGAAAGTGACAACATTCCTCTTGGATTTGTCATTCCCAGCATAATAAGCATATTATATTCTGATTCAAAATATACAATACCAGTCCATTTCAGTTCACTAATGCCTAGGTGTGGTGCTGTGGGTTAATGTGCTGGACTGCAAACTCGGTTTGAACCACAAGGTTGGCAGTTCAAGCTCACCACCTGCTCCTTGGAAACCCTATACAGGGTCGCTGTGGGTCAGAACTGACTCAACTGCACTTAACAACAACAATGCCTAGGATATCGGTCTTTATGTGTTCCATTTAATTTTTTGATAACTTTCAATTTTCCTAGATTCATTTTCTGCTTATTAATGGGTATTTGCAGCTATTTCTCCTCATTCTGAGTTGTGCTCCATCAGCAAATGAAGGTCCTGAAAGCGTTACTATATTCCTGTCATGATCCTCAACTCTACTTTGTGGTGGCAGCTCTTCCCTATTCAGGCTTTGATTGCCTTCCAAACTGAGGGACTCATCTTCCAGCACTTTATCTGACAATGTTTCACTGATATACATAGGTTTTTAGTGACCAGCCATCCAGAAGTAGTCCACCTTTCCTTCTTCCTAGTCTGTCTTAGTCAGGAAGCTCAGCTGAAACCTGTCCACCATGGGTAGCCATGCTGGTATTTAAAATACCAGTGGCATAGCTTCCAGCATTACAGCAACATATAAGCCACTACAGTACCACAAATTGACAGACAAGTGGTGGGCCTCTTTGTGTATATATGCACATATATGCATGTGTGTATATATATATATATATATATACTAGTTAGTAAAATTTGTACAAATGTATACAGATGTGTGGGTTGTTGTTGTTAAGTGCCACTGACTCCATTATGACTCACTCATAGCAACCCTGTATAGGGTTTCCAAGTTGCTGCTTATCCTACAGTGCTGTACCAGGACTCCACGTGTTTTAATAATTTACTGAATTTTCTAATTTGCCAACATTTTATACTTTAAAGACCAAGAGACAAAATAAAATATTTTCTTTGAGTACTTATACAGTGGGAAAAACAAATTTCCACAAAATTTTTTGAGAAAATTCAAAATGTACAAACACACCAGCTGCTTCTTGGAAATCCTATACTAGGTTGCTATGAGTTGGAACTGACTTGAAGGCACTTAATAAAATCAACAGCATTATCAAACTGATTGTAAATGTTCATCTGTAAAAACCTTTCATAGCTCTTGTTGTTGTTAAGTGCCATTGAGTCGGTTCTGACTCATAGTGACCCTGTATAAGATTTCCAGGGAGCACCTGGTGGGTTTGAACTGCCGACCTATGGGTCACAGTCCAGTGCTGACCTTATAGTGCCACACCAGGAGTCCAATTTGATGATAGGGAGCATTAACTTTGAACCCCAATTAATCAGAATGTTATCCTTCACGATAAAAATAATTGCATTCTTATTAATAGACCTGTATTATAAAAATTATAATCAATTATTGTTATATTTTGAATTTCCAATGCTCTTAGATCATATGAATACAGGATGTGGGCTATATTTGGCCTATGGGTGGATAGTTTGCTGATCCCAAGTATAAACTGAAGCTTCCTAAAATTAATATTTTAAATTATGATAAATATATAATTTTAGTAAATGAAACAAATATGCTGGCTATTTTTGTTTTAAACAAATGTTGAATACTATTTTTGCAGCATGTAGTGGCAAAAATAAAACCTAATAAAAAGCATTAGAAAAGGTGTTTGTATCTGTGAATATTTTTTAAGTCTCCCCTGTTAAAGTTTGTCTCTGCGTCGCCTCAGTTTCATATTATTGTTTCTTTTCAAGGAATGGAGGAACTTGAAACAAAAGAGAGATGAAAACTACCAAAAAGTGATGTGCTGTTTAGTGCATCGTTACTTGACTACTATGAGACAGAAGATGCAAAGTACAGATCAGGCAACTGTGGAAAACTTAAATGAACTACGCCAAGATCTGTCAAAATTCAGAAATGAAATAAGGGACTTGCTTGGGTTTCGGACTTCTAAATATGCTATGTTTTATCCAAGAAATTAATAATTTTCTAAATCTTGTTGAGAATAATTTTCAATAATAAATCTGAAGACTGAATTTACATAACTTGCAATTACATGAATAAGGTATATATTGAAATTATTATCAAAAAGCCATTCTTTAAAATATTTATAGTGTTAATACATGTTATGTAAAATATGTATATAGAATTAGTTTTTTAACACCCTCTAACAGTGGCTTTTTGCTGGAGCAGAATAGATTAAGTAGGTAGATTTTGTTAGCATGCTGCTTGGTTTTCTTCTTTGGACAGTGCTTTTAATTTTTCTTTTTATGTTTAAAAGGAGCATTATAACTGTATACATGGCCCAGAGAGTACGGTAAAATGAAGATCAGCAAATGAAAACAGGTCTCCTATAGAATGCGCTTAAGATGTACAACTCATAGTTTTAAAAATCTCTGTTTTAGGAGTTTGCATATGTGTTGTTGTTAAGTGCTGTCAGTTGGTTCCAACTCATAGCAACCTTGTATAGGGTCCCTTTCCAGGTTGCAGCTGGTGGGTTTGAACTGCCGACTTTGTGGTCCCCAGTCCAGTGCTGATCCTACAGTGCCATACCAGGAGTCCAAGTTTGCATATAGTCCCATATTTATTGTATAGTAGTATAGTTTTATCTAAACTAATAGTCTATATTCTTTTTATTTTGCTATAATCTTAAGCAACAAAGAGAAAAATCTATTTAATCTATGTCTATAAATTTAAATTTTGTTATTGTTGTATATTCACTTTTACACGGTTGTAGTCACTTTATGGGAGTCCTGGTGTGGTGCTGCAGGATAATGCACCAGACCGAAGGTCGGTTTGAACTACAGAGTCAGTAGTTCAAACCCACCAGTGACTCCTCAGAAACCCTATACAGAGTTGCTATGAGTCAGAACCAATTTGACGGCGCTTAATAAGTCACTCTATATTTTTGATTTTGCTTTTTTCACTCAATAGTTTTTATATATACATTTCCATGTATTGGAATAGTCCGTGTATTTGAAGTTTTATAGAATTATATAATTTTTGAAAAATATAGTTAGTAAACATCTTCATTTTTGTGGTTATAGAGTATTTGATTATGTTTATAAAGGAGCATAATGACTTTTCTGTGGTTAGGCACTTGGTTGCTTTTAATTTTTTCTTCCCATAATACTGCTGTAATGATTTTTTTCTAGTTTGAGTGAATGTTTATTAGACATTCCAACCCAAAGTAAGGATTCTGAAACTATTTATCATGTTGTTAACAGCCTGTTTAACTTTTTAAAAACATTGAAAGGCTCTTAAATCCAAGGAGTTGGTTTATATTTGGACTAATGTTCCTGAGCTGATCTTCCAACGTATTTCCCACATCATTTATCCTAGCTTCTGTAAGAGTGACTTCATGCTTACTTGTGGATCACTCTTGTTGCTTAAGATGAACAGCACTGACATTTTTAAGTTCGAGAAGAAAACGTGTGTATGTATTTTCTGTGTTCACATAAGAAGTGTAGCTAATTTTTTGACAAATGAGTGCTCGTATATTCATGCAGCATTTCTAGTTCAGAAAGTTTTAGGTCTATAATTGTCTTCTTAACTGAACGTCAGACAGTCTCAAGACCACAGGGTGCAGGTAGCCCGTGGCCTGTAGCACCACTGATCCAGGGATCATTGTCTAGATACGTTGGTATTGTGTTTCACCTTGCTTTTTACTTTTATTTTTTAATTTCCAAATTGTAAGTGTTCCCCCTTTTGGGCAAATTCTTATAAAAATGTTTATTGTAAAGTTATATATATTTTGTCTACAATGAGATTATGCACTTCCCAACTGGGATTTTACATCAGGATTTTTAGTCATTCTAAAAAATACCTAAATATAAAATCAAAATATTTATAGAGTGCCTATTGTATGCATGAGTTACTCTGAGGTATATTTTGAAAGACAGCATATTGTATGAAAAAAAGTGAATAAAACTTGGCATTAGATTGTAAACTGATGGTCTATCCATTGTATGCTATCCTTTTTGTTTTTAATGTCTTGTGATCTAACTCCTACCATAAATTCACTCTTTTGAAGTGTACAGTTCAGTGATTTTGGGGATATTCACAACATTTAAAAAAAAATCATCACCATTATCTAATTGCAGAACATTTCCATCACGCCAAAAAGAAGACCCGTATATATTAGCAGTCACTCCCCCACGTCCTGGCAACTAATATACTTCTATTTTTTTCTCTATGGATTCACCTATTCTGAACAGTTCGTATAAATGGTCTCATAGTGTATGTTTTTAAGGTTCATTTCTTTTATGGCTTAATCATATTCCATTGTATGAATAAGCCACATTTTGTTTATCCAATACTCAGTTGATAGATATTTGGGGTGTTTCTACTTTTTGGCTATTTTGAATAATGCTGCTATTAATCTTTCTGTATGAGATTTTGTGCAGAATAAGTCTTCAGTTCTCCCAGATGTAGCCTCGGAGTGGAATTGTTGGGTTATATAGTGGTTCTGTGGAGTCCTGGTGTGGCACTGTAGGATAAGCACTGGACTGCTAACCACAAGGTCAGCAGTTCAAACCCACTTGGAAACCTGTAGAGGTTCACTATGCATCAGGACTGACTCAATGGCACTTAACAACAACAACATAGTGGTTCTATGCTTAACCTTTTGAGGAACTGCCAGATTGTTTTCCAAGCAGCTGTACCGTTTTACATTTCTATAATAATTTATCAAGGTTCTAGTTTCTCTATATTCTCAACAACTCTTGTTATTGTTATTGCTGTTAAGAACCATTCAGTTATTTCTGAGGAGCGGCTCATGGGTTTGAACCACCGACCGTGTGGGTAGCAGTCCAGTGTTTATCTTACAGTGTCATACCAGGACTCCACTCTTGTATTAGACAATAATTAAGAGACAGTTCCTTTTGATTGTAGCCAGTGTAGTAGGTGTGAAGTTGTACCTCACTGTGGTTTTGATTTGCATTTTCCTAATATTAAAGTTTAATTCTGATGGAGTCCAATTTATCTGTTTTTTCTTTTGTTGTTTGTACTCTTAGTGTCATAATTAAAAAACTTAGTCTATCCAAAGATTCAGTACAATCCTCACCAAAACTACAAAACTACAAAAATAGGAAAGCCAGTCCTTAGTGTTTTATGGAATGAAAAAACAACTAATTCTGTAAGGCAATTAAGTTTCATATTTTAAAATTCATTTCCTTCATCTTATATTTCAGTGGAAATAGTAAAAAGTCATCTGTGTTTCCTATAAATGGATGTTTTCTTTTCTTATTTTTTTGAAGTTGTGAAACTATACTAAATCGTATTGTGAGACACCATTGTTGAGTCAGTTCCAACTCATAGAGACTCTGTATAAAGTTCCTGAGGCTGTAAATCTTGATGGGAGCAGAAAGTCTTATCTTTCTCTCAGGGAGTGGTTGGTGAGTTTCAACCAGCGATTTTGCAGTTACCAGTCCAGTGCTTATTCTACAGCACCACACCAGTAGTGTAGGAGACTTCAAATTTCTCATTTTCTGCATCCTCAGTTTAAGTACAGTGTTGATATTGAATGGTGCAAATTTGTTGAATGAAACTGTATGCATCTTCTGTTTATTCAAGTATTCTAGGAATGATATTCAGTCAGTAATATATCTAACAGTTACATATCCAAAACTGATATTTTTATTAATTTGTCCAAGGTCATATAATAACTAGGAGTCCTGGCATATAGGATAACTATAGTGGCACTATAGGATAAGCACTCGGCTGCTAACTGCAAGGTCAGCAGTTCAAACTCACTAGCCACTTCTCAGAAACACTATATACAGGGTTGCTTTGAGTCAGAATCGACCCTCAACTTGATTTATAGTTTGTATCAGGAAAGAAAGGAGCTCTGGTAGCGTAGTGGTTACGAATCGAGCTGCTAATCTCAAGGTCAGCGGTTCAAAACTACCAGCTGTTCCATGGGAGTAAGATGAGGCTTTCTGCTCCCATAAAGATTTACAGTCTTGGAAACCTGTACAGGGTCACTATGAGTCGGAACCGACTCGACGGTACTTAACAACAACAACAATCAGGAAAGATACATCTAAAGCTTTTCTTTTTCAGTGTCTCATATTGCAGATTTATTTAATAAAAGTTAAAATATCTAGTATTTGCCTTTCTAAATGACTGGTTTACTAAAGACTTTTAATTTTATGATCAGGTTCTGAGACAGAGAGCAGCAAGATGAGCAAGAGTTAGAAAGAGAGGCTGGACTGTGATGTAGTAAACAAAAATAGGAAAACAGATTCATTCTCCGAAAACAACAAGCCAGGCCAAGGAAGGGCCAGAAGAGTGTTTAATATGGAGAACTGGTTAATATTATTTCTGTGCCACTTTATAGCCTCAGTAATTTATATATTTAAGACTCTAGACATGCGCTGGACTGAAAGGTCCGTTTGACCCACACGGTTGGTGGTTTAAGCTCACCAGCTGCTCCTTGGAAACTCTGAATAACAGTCACTATGGGTCAGAAGCAACTTGACAGCACTTAACAACTAAAAACAGACAATATTAAGACCTTCAATTAAGGAAGCTAAAATAATCCCTTAACCAAACAAGAAGAACACATCCAGCATTTCTCAAGCTGAAAGAACTGAAGAAAAGAATCATGTCTCTAGTTGCAATGTTGAAGGATTGTATGGTACAGTGTTTCCATGTGGTTTATTGTTTGCAAGATGTATACTTGTACTTTATTGACTTTGCAAAGGTTTCAACTGTGTGGATCATGAGAGACTATGAATAACACTGTGAATAATGACTATTGTAGAACACTTGGTTGTGCTCATGAGAAACCTGTGCATAGACTAACAGGCAGTAAGAACAGAACGAAAGTTATACCGAATGGTTTAAAATAAGGAAAGGTGTGTGCCAGGGTTGTATCCTTTCGCCACATTTATTCACTCTGCGTGCTGAGCTAATAATCCAAGAAGCTATAATTGTATGAAGAAGAAAGTGGCATCAGGATTGCAGGAAGACTCATTAA